GTGTGTGTGTGTGTGTGTGTGTGTGTGTGTGTGTGTGTGTGTGTGTGCTGTGGGCAGGGCACACGGTCCTTTCTGCCTGTTCCACCGGTAATGACCACAGTCCAGGCTGGGGGCTCCGAGACCAACGTCTATATTTCTGTGTGAGGCTTGTGACGACAAGATTCTATCTCTTTACAGCCTATCTTGTGGTTGCTCATACACACTCAGGGAATGAGATTTATGTTATATCCATTTATACATCAAGATATACAACTTGATGTGCGTGCTTAATATAATTAATGGTGAACATGCTAAGAATAGACTTCTGGATTGTGTTTTGGGAGTCCTCGGGATTTTTGTTTGTTTTGTTTTTTTATTTTATTATGTTATGTTAATCACCATACATTACATCATTAGTTTTTGATGTAGTGTTCTTCATGGTGCCTTAGGGACCATCCTGGGCAGTGGGTGGAGTGCGGGGGAACATGGGAGCTGGGTCCAGTCTTCTCCCCACTGCCCATTCCTTCCAGATACCTCAACTAGAGCAACACTGCTTTTACCCATTTTTATGTTGAGGTTCCACATAGTCATTTTATTTATTTTTTTAAAGATTTTATTTATTTATTTGACAGAGAGAGACAGCAAGAGAGGGAACACAAGCAGGGGGTGTGGGAGAGGGAGAAGCAGGCTTCCTGCCAAGCAGGGAGCCTGATGCAGAACTCATCCCAGGACCCTGGCATCATGACCTGAGCGGAAAGCAGACGCTTAACGACTGAACCACCCAGGTGCCCCAACATAGTCATTTTATTTAACAAAATAAAGTACCTCCAAATAGATCATGGTTTAGATGTAATGAACATAATCCTCTCTAGCTAGTTTAAACAGAAACGGTTCTAGAATTGTCAGAGAGGGAAAGAAACAGACCCTAGACTAATCTTCCAAGAACATCTTCCGAAGTCACACAAAAAACTGGGCTGTCAAAGGTGCTGCTCCTCCACAGACAGGAAGAAATCTGCCGAATCAGGAAGCTCCTGAGGTAGCTGCCAGATCCTGAACTAGTCTGGAGTCAAAGTTGAGGGAAAGCCCCAAACTGTGGAATTGTCCAGGGCTGAAAAAGCCAATTGCTTCTGGGTACCTGGGCCCCCCAGGACCAACGGAATTATTAATTTGTTTTATCCCACAAGAAACCTAATAGCCTCAGAATGATTTATGATACTAACACAGCCATCTATATTTTGCTTATTAAAAATGTCAAGCGGCAGCGGCGCGCACTGAGAGGCCTGGCCGGGTGTGGGGTGCCCCGCAGGCGCGTGGCCGCTGCCGGGGAGACTGAGGCCCGGGCCTCGCACGCAGGGCCTACCCGGCTGCGCCGTGAGCTACCGCAGCGTCGGCGGCGAGGCCTCCTAGATGGCGCGTCGGGACTCTACGGAGCAGAGCAGAGGCTGGGCCCCGGCCGCGAGCAGGGTAGGAGGCCCGACCCGCCCGGCCCGCTCGCCCCGCCGCGGGTGGATACGGCGGCGGCGATGGCGGCGGCGATGGACGCCCTAGAGGAAGAGAGCTTCGCGCTGTCCTTCTCTTCCATTGTGTAAATCGTCTGTGCCAGCTTCCCAGAATGACCTGCGGCCCCAGGCCCCACCGCCAGGCAATGCGATCTTTCTGGACGTTGCCAGCCAATAGACTGGAAGAGGCTCTGGCCGTGTGACAGAATATATGTTGGAAAGACTATTCTGCAACTCCTCGTTAATGTGAAGTATTGATGGGTTAGAAGACAATCGTCTGACCCTCCTGAGACCCTGAAGCACCTTCTCATGTTCAGTAATCCTAGCACTCCTCCCCCAAGCAGACCCCGCTCAGGCCTCTGCGTCAGGCTCCGCCAGAGCAAGCCCAAGGCCAGCATTGCCCCTTCCTCAGCATACGTGTTGGTAGGTCAGCAGCACTTGGAAGAACCCACCATCTCCAGCCCTCTTTGGCTCAGCAGGCTCTGCATGTCCTCCAGGCTTTTTGTGTGCTCACACAGCCCTCCGTATTTGTCTCTCGCAGACTTGCAGCCTCAATGGGCTTTTTGCCTGTGGGGTAACGTGTCTCTGGGCTGTCAGTCAAGCCAGCTGCCTGCCCAGCTGAGCTTTCTGCAGCTCATCCCATTCCAGCCAGTTAGAATCAACTGAGAGATGTCCCTTGCCTGAAGCTACACGTGAAAATCATTTCCTTGTCTTATTTTGCAGTCCTTGCATCATTGTCTTCTGCTGGTCCTGATGTGGTCTGTTTCTAGAATTCTCTTAAGCATTTTTAGAAAAATATTTTTATAGGAAAATACTCAGGCTAACCTAGTGGATATAATCTTGGAGCTTCCACGATTACCCACTTAAAGATCAAAGTATTATATGCTGTGTGTTTTTTAGCTGTTAGTGCTATGAAAGCAAAAATGCTTTCTACGTTGGCCTTCCTGGTTTACTGGGTGCCAATAAGTGTGTGCTTATGCTGGAAGTAGGCTCAAAGGTCTCCCTTTCCTGCAGCATGTTAAGTGTTTGTACAGGTTTGCTAAAACCCTTTCTGCATAAATCAATTTGTTAGGTTTTCTGTTGGGGTAGGGTCTCTGTAGTTCCTTCCTCCTGTCAAAATCTCCCTACCAAGATGGTGTTCCACTGAGCTACTTCAGCATGAGTTAGGAGAGAGCAGACAGCTTTACCGGTCACCTGTATGTTTTGATTTAGCACAATATTTCATAGAAATTACTGACCAGAAAACATGGATGTCACATCTCTAGAAAGAAAGAACATGGTATTTCAATTCCCAGTGTGTACCCTCTATATTGTTTTTAAGTAAAAATGAGACTCTATACTGATTTCAATCACCTGTTCTGGTTTTAAAGTATGAGCTATATAGACTGTGTTTTTCTGTACTGATGTGTGGCGCTTATTAAATACTTTTGTACCATGAGAAAAAAAAATCAAGATTTTTGGGGGGGGTACTATTTTAGACCCTGAGAATATCCCATTAGAATATAATAAAGTCAAGCTCTCGTGTTCTGGAGTCATTTGAAATTATTTTTCTTGATGTAGTTTTGTCAACTCAATAAATAGTTCGATTTCTTTGATTTTGATTTTTAGGGATTGCTTCTTAAAATTTTGCTTTATTTTATAATAATGCAAGATAGTTAACAGCCTTCTAGTGCAAATTTATAAAATAAGGTATATGCAGAAAAATTCAGCTTCTATTCCTCTCCCTGCTACTTGTTTGCTCCTTCCCATATAGGCAAACCTTTCTAAAAATGATGTCACTATATCCTTCTATTTTTAATATAAATAAAGATACATACATACTTAAATCCCCTCACTTCTTACAGATAAATGGTAGCATATTATATACAATTTTCCACCTTGTTTTCCCATTTCAGAATACATTCCAGAGATCATTGCCTAACTGCATTTGGTGCTATTTCTCATTCTTTCTTAGAGATACATGACACACCATTTGTGTTGCTGTACCAGTTTATTCAACCAGTCTCAAATATCTCCAGTCTTTTGCAATCTTAGATTATGTTGTAAAGAATAGTCTTATGCATACATCTTCTCACATTTTTGCTAGAATATTTTGGGGATGGATTGCTGTAAATAGGATCTCTGCATCAGAGGATAATGCATATGTACTTTGGCTTAATATTGCCTTTTCATATGGATTGTCCTTTTGAACTCCCACTAGCAATGTAAGGAGTACTTACCTTAGTTTTTGCCAATTTTTCCGTGAAGATA